CTGTAGCTCAAGATGGTGTTCAGCTGTGAATCCTGTATGCCAGGTTGGAGAAATCTATTCTACATGTTCAACAGCGTGTGAAGCGACCTGCGAAAATCCATATCCAGTAATATTTACTTCGGAAATACTTGTATTTCGAATCCTTCACAGATCTGTACTAAACAATGTGGTCCCGCGAAGTGCCAATGCGCTCCTGGTTTCGTTCGTGACTCCTCCGGGAAATGCATAGCAGTAACATCTTGTTGTGAGTTTCTTCGAGAACTCGTACTGTAAGTAAAATTGATAATGTTCAGCTGGCCCTCCTGTATGCCAAGTTGGAGAAGTATATTCTACTTGCTCAGCAATATGTGAACCAACATGTCAAAATCCAAACCCGGTAATGCTCATTCTTGAAACTAATGTACTTTGGCTACTTCATAGATCTGTATTAAACAATGCGGCTCCGCAAAATGCGAGTGTGCTCCAGGTTTGATTCGTGATCAAGCAACTGGTAAATGTGTGCTACAAGCTTCTTGTAGTTGTAAGTGCATATAAGATCGTTCATTGGGATAACCGATCTTTTAGCTACGGTACCCAGTTGTCCAGTTGGGGAGCATTGGAGTCAATGTTCATCTCATTGCGAATCTACTTGTTCAAACAAAAACCCGGTAGAAAGATCCAAAAGATCCATAACAGTTTTGTTTCCAGATTTGTACGAAAGTCTGCAGTCCAGCAAAATGCGCATGTAATACAGGCTTGTCCCGTCATCCAATTAGTGGAAAGTGTGTTTCATCAGAGCTCTGTCGTGAGTTTTGATCAATACTTATCATTTATAAATATTCTGAAACGGGTGCTTCAAAACCACATAATTCAGCTTCGGCCATGAACTGCGGTTTGAACGAAGAATTCAGTGAATGCGGTGCTCGATGCCAAGCAACCTGCGACTATCGCACTGGAATTAATGTTTGTTCTTTAGATCATTTACATTCCATCTATTTCTTTCAGAGACCCCAGATTTGCCCCGCTATATGCATGCCCGGGTGCGTTTGTTCTGCTGGACATATCAGGTTCGGCCAAGTTGATGGATCCGGAGGAGTCTGCTTACGTGAAAACTTCTGTGTCAGCTATTATCCAAAACTCTTTCCGGATTGGTGAAAATAATTCACTTAATTCTTAATTGTAATGTGTTGTACAAATAAAGTTCGAATGCCTTTCGCATATACTGAGTGATCTTGCCCATTCTCCAGTGTTTTTCCTTCCCAAATTGTCTCACTGACCACTAGATCGGAAGACAGTGAAGTTCAAGACCGGGAAATAATTATGAAAAACTGACCTAATAAATAATTTTGTCGTTGTGTAGTCGCTACGCTACAACTAGAAGAAGATATTGTGCTACTGTGTTTACAGGCAATAAACGAAAGTAATAAAATGAAAACGTAATCATGTTTGAATAAATATTTTTGAGTTCTAAGCTTTGTTTCGCTCCTAATCGTTATCGGAGTTCCCCGTATTTCACATAGGTAATCTCAAAAATCTTGTATGAACATCGCATCAGTACATTACTCCTCATTTTATCATCAACTGAGAAAGATTGAGAATACTCATGAAATTGAAATCATATGATTTGAATTTCAATTGGAAAACGATTGATATAAGATTTGAAATACACTCTGCGTGTACACTTAGACTTCATGTTTCTAACTTCGTAAAATGTTTATTGGCAGCTTTACAATAGTTGTGTAAAGTTCAAAAGTGTTATGAAGGGGTGAATGTTAATCTTTCCCAATTTTATACAATCATTCAAGTCCGTAGATAGATCTACAAGGCTGCTCGTGATGTGCATCTTTTGCTAACGGAACTGATCCACGGACGAAGCGTTGCCAAAGATGAGGAGAATCCACGACGGTCTCATTGTCTCCAAAATACAGCAACGTGAACTTGCTAACAGTAGATGTTTGATGTTGAACTTTCATACTATCTGTCTTTTCTGTTCTCAGCTCAAAATCTGTACTCATTTTTCTTCACTTGAAAAAACAAGTTTACCATCAACTAGCTAACATCTAAACAACTCGAGAAGTACTGATAACTTATCTTTATTCCTATGTTTTTCATCATGAGCTCATTTGTTAACTATATCTGAGCATTTTTTTTCAAGAGACTCTTTTTTATCATAGTACCCAGGTATCATCTTTCGGAAGTGCAACTCGATCAAGGAAGTGAATATGGCAACGAGTTGTACTCCAATGGTTCAGTAGATAACGTATCAAATCCTGATGAAGTCATTTATCAAACGTAAACAATGAAGTACAGTCTAAAATCTAGGAACTTCAAAAAAATAATACTCAGATGTGAGCTGATGAAAAATGGGGACCGCTATTTTCCAAGCCTAATAAAGACTTGGAGATACTACGCAATTCGAACTTCTTGACTTTCCCCGTTGCTGTTAATGGAAAGTCTTTTTGCTCCTTGATGAACAAGTATTTCGGAACCTTATAATAAGCCATCTGAAGAAAAGTATTAACACATACTCATCTAAATTTGAAAAGTTACAGCTTTCTTGCAATCTTCTTTGATGTGATCTTCATTCACTTTCCCCACATACTGTTCTTTCAAACGAACCCAACCACATATGTTTTCTCCATACCGCTCATCTGGAACTCCTACTATCTGAAACACTGCTTGGCATGGATCTATTTGATCGTCTATATGCACAAGAAGCAAATGCAATACCTGCACGTCAGCTATGTAGGGGAACTTGAACATTGCTGTTTCTATTTCGGTTGGATAGACATTCTCTCCACCTTCATAATTACTTTGTTAATAGAAGAAGAGTTATCTTCATACCTTTGACAATCATATCCTTGTTTCTACCAATTATGTTGATTGTTCCGTTCTCATTCATGATCGCTGTATCTCTTGAATGTTATATTACGTCAACTGAAGAAGATTCGAGCACAAACCCAGTTTTATACCAATTTTGAGGAGTTATCTCCTTCTTCGTTTTTTCCTCATCTCCCCAATATCCACTCATTGTCATATATCTTCAGAAACATGCTTGTTAATGTTAATATTCACTTAATTCACCCTCTTGCCCAGAGTTCTCCTTTCTCTCCTCTTGGAACCACTCTGTTGTTATTATCAACAATCACTACCTAAGTAACAACAACACTTTTCGCATAGCTCTGTTCCATACCTCTGTTGATGGAAGGACATGACCTACGCTTTTAATCCTTTCTTCTGGCTCATCTCGTTGAACTGACATCGATACTCCAGGAGAGAGCTCCGTAGTCCCATAGAGAACGTATATATCATTCATATTCAGATGATCCACCATTTGCTTACACAGCGATAGAGGACATGGTGCTCCAGCAATATAACCTAAAGAAATCAACTTGGAGCAGTAGGTGTAAGGCATCATGTGTTTTCTTATACAAGATAGTTCGGCTATTGTTCTCAGAAAACATTTGATACGATTCTCTGATAAGCAGATAGTATTGGTGCCATAATAAGCCATTAATTCATGTTATTGTCTTTATATAGTTTGTTGTCTGGTCTTACCACCGCGTAGACTGCTAATGTCAGCAGTTTTCAAGAAAGGAGTCGAAAGAAGGTCAATGAACATTGTCGGCGTACCGAAGATAAAGGTGCATCTAAGATATTGAACTCACGTTTGTTTTTGAGTTTCAAATAAACTTTTCTTTACTGATGCTCTCAAGAATGGCTTTTGTGTCGTATGATATAGAAGGAAATACACATGTTTGATTGTGATTCAAAGCATTCAAGGCACCAATCACGCATCCGAAACAATGATATAGCGGGTTTGGGATACATATCCTATGATTCTATAATACAACTCATCACATGAACTTTTGAAACATTGAGCAACTTCTTCATGCCAGCCTGATGTTAAGCCAATTAAGAAGGAGTTATTGATAATGTTGAAATGAGAGAGTGTTGCTGCTTTAGGAAGACCTGTTGTACCCTGAGAACTAGCAAAAATAATTTCAAAAGTAATTTTACTAACACTTGTATACTGAATGTTTACAGGATCTTCAGGTAACACATGACTTCTGACTTCATCTAACATACTTAATTCGTAAGTACCGCCAGCTTTCCATATTTCATCGAACTGCCAAGCTCCTCTGTATGTATAAACTCGGTTACTCTTGTGCTGGGCCGGCTTACGGTAGTTTCTCCTTTTCACCAAAAACGAGGATATGCTTTAGATCAGGTAATTTACTGCTTTCAACTGTTCCGAGTCCAGCCTTCCCCGTGGTAATACTGGGCAGAACCTGAAACTCATAGTCAAGTAAAGACATTTCAGTTTCTCGTTCGTACTTCAGCCAAGACATCGTAGAATTTGTTCTGCTTGTGAGCTTTTGGGGTGACAAGGGCTTTTACACCAACTTTTCTCAGTGCATACTCTAGTTCAGGTGCTTTGTAAAAAGGATTGATATTAACCTGAAGAATAAAAAGTTGAGTGAACGAGTATCCAGATTGTTGAGAGATACGATTAGTTCAGCTGTTGAGAGTTGTGAAAACCTAACTTCTCAACAGCTGTTCTTCGAAAGTATAATGAGAAGAGATAATTCAAACCAGTTCAATATTTTAATAAAAATTACTTGAATTATTCCACACAGCGCCGTAGAATATTGTATGACCATCCATTCGTAGTAGTTTTGACCCCACATCCCAACACGATCCCCCTTCTCTATTCCAATTGCAAGGAGGCCAGTAGCCATTTCACATACCTGCAAGAAAACATCTTCAGCTGTGTTGATTCGCAGTATTTCTAACATCTTTATGAAATTGTGCGTACGTTTTTCTAATGTTTTGCTCGGGAAAAACTAGAAACTCTTTGTCAGGGGAGCATTGCGTCACGCGCTCGAGCAGCTCGCCGAGAGTTTCATAGCGCAAAGGTATCGTTGATGATCCATGTGAATAACTTTTATTCGAAAATTCTCTTGCTCTATAACAAGTCATTAATATTACGACAAAAGGAGCTTACGAAAGCCGTTTTGTAATATAGTTCACCAGAAGACGACGCATCACGTTGAATGAAAGAACAGCTATCAACAACTAAATATTCCAGAATTGATGGATTGTTATTCGAATTATGAAGAGGAGATGCAAGAGAAGTAAACTTCAGAGAAAACGAAAGAAAGTTGTGATAAGAATGCAAGAGTAGAACATCAGTGAAGAAGTGTGTTGAAAAGCCAGTTCTATTCAAATAGAACTACATAACAACCTCAATTTTGTTGTTTCAAATTACTCGTTGTTTTTGAGTTGTTCCTTCAAAATGAATGCGTGTTCTCCTGGAAGTTGGGGAAGTCTGTTCTCCGTTCATACCCTATGCAACTCATATGCATATCGATTTTACAGTAACGATGATGTGCACGAGCTACGATGACACTGTAAACTGTGCAATTGTTGTTCATTAGTTTACTTTCCGCTTATGGAAGTGTCAAAATTACTTTATTCACAGACAGATATACAAAACATAATAATCTCAATCGCGCACAATATCGTTCCAATACAGAGGATATTCGCCAGTACATTCTTCCTCCTCTACGCAGGGAGAACCCATGCTGTCATCAAGACGGACGTATCCTTCTTTACAAAAGCAACCAGATGAGCATTGACATTCTTCGAACTGAAAATGAAAGTGAACAAGTGAATTATGAAAAGCAGTCAAGCTTACAGGTTCGATATCACGGACGTGGTAACAGTTCCTTTCACAGACGTTTCCACATTGCTGGTATTCTTCATTGACTCCAGCACAGTCAATCCGAGGTAAATCTGTGAAAAAAGGTAAAAATGAATTATCTGGTAAGTTCTTGAAAACAAACCGAAAGTAGAAACTTGTGCAGAGATAACAAGGAGCAGAGCCTAAGCAATATCATTATATTGTATGAATTTGATGAAAAAACTTACGAAGAAAAGATATTTCATGGCGGAGTAACTTTCAGGTTGCTTCTGGAGATCTGCTCAGCTATCCTTTTATACCCACTTTTCATCAAATGGAAAAAAACAATTTTATTATCATCAACATATTATGGTCATTGCAACGTATTTGAAAGTAGCACCTTTATCATTTGAATAAGAACATCTTAGTTAGAAGCACAGCATAGTTGTTGCGAAAACACAGTAACCTATGCCTTAACCTTTTCATGTTTTAAGTTCTGATGAGGAACTAACAATGTCAAAAAACTATAGTTCATCCGTGCAAAAAAAAATAGATAACAGTAATGAACGTCATCAAGCACTTCACATTTGGGAAACAACAACAAGGATCAAAACCACTGCCTCCTATTCAAAGAGGGTACACCTGTAATGCTTGAACAGAGCATCGTTGATAGAAACTTCTAAGTACTCGATGTGTAACATAGGTAAGGATTTATAAGAAGGTGAGTAGTTGCTCATTTGAACTATATCTCATCAGTAGTTTGAACACCAATTGAAACTATTTATGCATTTGTAGAACAATTTGTTGCAGTTTCACCAGTTTTTCAATATGATTTGAGTTGGGTCCAAATTTGGTTCTTCCGATTAATGTAATAAGACCAGTAGACAATCTGAATATAGAATATCAGGAAACCTTCTTCTATGCTTTATACATTGAAAATGAAGAATGAGAGAGGAAACATCACACTGGAGATGGCGTCTATTCGCTCAGGAGGCCAATTGCTCTTCGCTGTCGACTGAATTTTCATTTTTCTTCATCAGACTACATTCAGATAACTGACCTGACCACTACTGGTTCCACAGCCAGGTGGAAACATGAATCTTCTCTCATACAACCCTAATCCTTGCGGAGATCCGGAAGCATCAAGTTGTATTGTCTAAATATTAACAAAGCTCTCTGTTACATTGAGACATACAAAGTCTTCAAACCTTTTGTTTCTTCATTGAGCTCTTTTTGGGTGGAGGTTCGTCTCGAACTTTGAACCCGATAATAGCCAGTTCTAATAAACTGCAGAAAATGAATGTCATTGACACTAACATCCACACATCTGAATAGAGTAATAGACCTTGGTTTACCATAAGTATAACCTATGGCTTTTATGTAGGAAACTCTTGGCAAGTTTCTCATGATGTTTCCAAATTGAAAAATCATCGCTAGTAAAGCGTTCACACACAACATGGTTCGAGCAGGAATAGCTTTAGGTCCCAAAGAAAAAGAAATCCAACTAAAAGAAATTCAATGACAACCATTCAAGGGTACTGTACCTTATGAAGATTGTGAGGTAGGTTGGAAGATATGCTTGCATGAAATACCATATAAATCTTCTCCGGAACATCAAGGTAACATGTAGCTCATCCCACATTCCAGCTGGGTAAGGCTATACTTTCAAATAAGGAAGCAATTAGGAGAATGTTCGTACTTCTCTAACAGCTTTCGCTTTGATTTTAAACAAATCAAAGTCTGGGAGAACGATTTCGTTAACTTTGTAAACGGGCTCGCTGATATCTGCCCACTTCATCATGACTTCTTGACGATTGTAGTTAAAGCTTAAAGAAATGCAACCTCATCTCCCTCATATGTATACCTCTCGTAAATCAGTCCACACGTCTGTAGATCCAGAGGAAAATTACTGAGCTCCAAAGAGCATGGTCCTTTCACCCTCACTCGATAATTGACCATGACTGTCCCGTTAGGAAAAAGCATTAGAAACACACTTCTGAATAGACATCGTACAGTATGTGAACTGATTCAAGAATGTACCGGAAAGGCGAATCATGGATTTCTGCTACTTTACTATTGATAAAACAACTATTTGGAGTCCATAGTCTCTCCAACACCTGATGATTCAGAGATAAGTTTCCTTAAACGACGACATGTTTGTGAGAGAAGAGAAACTCGAACCTTTGCAAGGAGATAACTTCTCAAAGTTCAGTGCAGGATCAAGCCACTTCTCCGTAATGTAAATGTCCATTTCGAAATCATTAGTTAACTCGTCGATTGAAGTAATGGCTTGAATCCAAATCTCGACGAATACTGTCATTCCCTCATCCTCTGAATAGTTGGTTGATCTCTTGAATAGCAATAGAATGCCAAACCTGGGATGCGAAACTTATTATAGCCAGTTCCATTTAATAATTTATCTATTACATCTGTATCTCTCGTGCAGTTCTGATACCTGAAAGAGTACGATGAGCATGCTCATAACCGTAGTCGTTTTTGTTTTCATTAGAAACTGAAAACTTTGAAAAATTGCATCAGTTGCTTAATACTTGTGGCATTGTTTCTTTCCCAAAAAGAAAAAGAGAGGAAAAAACGAAAACACTGATGATGCTCGAACCAACCTCTTCATAGGAATATACACGTCGTCTTCATCATCATCGGGTTTCCAATCATATGTAACCCCAAATATGTATGAACAGTGAAGGAGAACCAAAAAATAAGATTTCTTCATACTCACCTAAACAAATTTTGTGAGCTTCAATACTAAGTTTAGCATCTTCATTGGGGATCAAAGATATCAGGCGGAACTGAATTTTTATTCGGAGAGCATTATGAGGGACAGCCAGAAGATGACCCGCTCTCGAATGTTCAAATCATAAAGGCTTCTAGTAAAAAAGAAATATTGGAAATGTTTTATGAGAGTCAAAGCCAATATGATTCACTGAGGAAGGCAGTGCGCCTTAGTGACAGAGGAGTTAGAATCAAGGAGCGAGAGGGTGTATAGGGTTAATGAAAGAGTTTTTCATTGGATTTCTTACTGGAAAGTCAGGAATCCCGCTCTTCTCGTTGTCTAACTTATAGTGACGGCTAGATATCAGATGTGACTTGTCGACGAGCTGTTCGGAAGAGGAAGGTACAAATAATTTATTAATGAGATTTTTTCTTCTCGAAAGAATATAGAACTTCGAATTTAAATGAAAAAAATAAGAAGAGCGTCCACACACAACAACGAATCTCATTTTTAGAACTGAGGAACATCTTGATTAGAAGTTTTCTGAGTTTTTTTTTCATGCGAAATGAAATATATGTGAGTAAGAGGCTAACATAGAAATAAGAATTCTCAGAATTTTTTTGTTGAAGATTATGCTTTCGCAATAAAGAGTATTGGCGAAGGAGGAAGAAAAAGGAAAAGTTTTTGAACCGCCACTGAGGGCTCTCAAAAGAACGGCTGAAAAGAGACTTGTCGTCCGTCATCCTTTCTCTCGAGATATTCGTTCCAACTCGCTAGCTATTTTTTTATACAGGATATTGAGTGGGAATGGAGAAAAAAAGAAAAACAAATCTTCAGGTGCTTATGAAGAAAAGGAAATCTCTGAATGTTTATCGAGAATAGTTAATGCAAAACCAATTGATTTCTACGTCAAGAAACTCTGATGAGAAGGATTCCTTTATGTTTTTTCCTTATTCGCTTTGCTGTTTTTATTTCCAAGAAAAAGTTCTATTGGGACCATCATTATGTGCTTTTAATGAGACAGTTTAAGTTTCAAACAAGAGCTTCATATATGATTAAAGCATAAGCACTTCCTGCTCTGTTCCAAATTATTTCTTTAAACTAATGAAATTGAAGCTGCGCCACACCGAATATATGGAGAGAGGGTCGTGAGATAATCGAGCACAACGAAAATTCAAAAAATTGGTGAAAATTCGATTCAAACTAATACACATACAATAGTTAATGTATTCCGGAAGTTTAGGCTGTTTCTATTCTATAAGGTGGAAATGCTTTAGCGGCTCGAAACTTTGTTGAAGAGCACAAGAAAAGAAATTGGCTAATTGCCTATTCGTGAGGGCTCTCAATCTCTTATGTCGTCTACAATTATCTTTTTGTGAATGATCGTTGGAAACTAAAAGCACATTTTACAATTAATAAATAACAACCTTCATAAAGAAAGCCATTAATTAAGCTTTTTTTCACGATTGTGCTGAGACTTGAAAGAAAAGTTTATAAATCGAGTTAGTTTCGGAGATCATAGTGAATCAACCGTTCTGCGCGCGCCAACCGTTCACAAATGAAATGCTGACGGGGACGTGAAAAACATTTATTCAAATTGAGTGGAATGGGTGAGACAGAAGGGGAAAACCTTGCAATATGAACTTCACAGCAATTGCGGCTCATTTTTGGGCTGAAAGTAGGGCAATTGAAGCCTAATTATCGAATAACTCATAGATATTGTGACTTTTGGATGTTTGTCAATGTAAAAACGAACTGGAAGTACACAAGAATTCATACCTTTCTGCTCATTTCCGTAATCGTAGTAGAACTTCCTTTAGCAAACACTATCGGAACTCAGATAAAAATCGTCGAAAAAAATATCAAACTACATGAAGAAACGATGATTTCTTATTTCACAGAGATTGGCAGAGAAATATCAATGGGCTGAGATATAGGAAGCAATCTAATGCTCGCCGTTCCACATGAGCGATTATCTCATTTCTAATAAAACTTTATATGTCCTTTCTACTTCTAAATTTGAGTCATTCCACTTCTATTTTTTCCAGCTCCTCGTCTAGCCTTCTCTTATATTAAGCTTTTAACCTTTCCAATCTGAACCAAATAATCCCATATAAGCCTTGAAGAACGAAATTCCCCCAACTCATATTTTCAAAACATAAATTCGTTCGAACTTTAGAAAGACTCTAGTCATGGAATACATTACATAACATAAAACTTCCATAAGTTCATCAACCATGCATTTGGCTGACCAATATATTAAAGGTATATAATTTGTATTTAATGGTCTCGCCACGACATCATGCAGAATTTAGGATTTCGCGGTTTGAGAATTCACTTTGAATTCTTATGCAGGCCTTTTAAGCTCACATTTATGAAAATTATTAATTACTGTTCTAAATTTTCTATAATTTGCTTTCCAGGTAATAAATGGCTTCTGGAGATAAAGATACCCGTGTTGCTCCTGGCGAGATGACTAGCAAGGATTACTATTTTGATTCCTATGCTCATTTCGGAATCCACGAGGTATGTTAGAAACATAAGAAATCATATTCATCTTATATTTGTTCAGGAAATGCTCAAGGATGAAGTTAGAACTATCACCTACAGAAATTCCATCTACCACAACAAGCATCTTTTCAAGGATAAAGTTGTTATGGATGTTGGATCTGGAACTGGTATCCTCTCCATGTTCGCTGCCAAAGCCGGAGCCAAGAAAGTTTTTGCTGTAAGTTCATATTTACTTCTTGCCTTGTAAATTGTTATATTATAGATGGAATTCTCCAACATGGCTCTTCAATCAAGACAAATCATCAAGGATAATAACCTCGATGACATCATCACCGTCATTCAAGCCAAAGTTGAAGACGTCAAGGAGCTTCCTGATGGCATTGAAAAGGTTGATAGGTTCTATGTTTCCTCATAATATTTTTCTCTGCAGGTTGACATCATTATTTCCGAGTGGATGGGATATTGCCTTTTCTACGAGTCTATGCTCAACACTGTAATCTTCGCTAGGGATAAGTGGTTGGCCCCTGATGGACTTTTGTTCCCAGATAAGGCTAAACTTTTCGTTTGTGCTATCGAAGATAGACAATACAAAGAGGAAAAGATCCACTGGTAAATCACCGGAGATTCCGAGAGTATATAACAGTGGTGTTTTAGGTGGGATAACGTTTATGGATTCAACATGGCCGCCATCCGTAAGGTTGCCGTCACCGAACCATTAGTTGACTGTGTTGATGCTGGCCAAGTTGTCACCAACAACTTCTGTATCAAGGAAGTCGATCTTTACACATGTAAGATTGAGGACCTTGCTTTCGAGTCTGAATTCAATGTCAGATGTTTAAGAAGCGACTACGTTCAAGTAAGATCAGGAGACTGGATTCTCTTTCAAGTTTATCTTTAGGCTCTTGTTACTTTCTTCACTGTTGAGTTCTCCAAGTGCCATAAGCGAGTTGGGTTCTCAACTGGTCCAGATTCGACTTACACTCATTGGAAGCAAACCGTCTTCTATTTGATGGTATATTCTGCGCTTTTGAATGATCTCATTTTATAATTCATAGGATGCTCTAACTGTAAAGAAGGGAGAAGAGATCAAGGGTGTTTTCAAGGTTGCTCCAAATAAGAGGAACGAGCGTGATTTAGACTTCAAGATTAAGGTTTGTTGTTTTTAAATTGGAACTAATAATATCAATTCATCATTCTAGATTGACTTCCACGGAGAAGTTTGCGATCTTGAGGAAGAAAATACCTACACCATGCATTAATATGCGGTTAGGTTTTGTTACTTTTTATAACGTTCTTGTTTATCTTGATACTCATTCTCATAGTTTCCCGCTGATTTCTTTGGCTGTTGAAATATTTAATTGTTATTTGTTATCTTGCTGTACATACCTGGAAGCGGGTCGCTGCCCTATAAGATACTCGGGCGCCGCGCTCGGATGTTGATCACTAGCTTGTTGTTGTCAGAAAAATAAATTGAAAAATCTTAAACTGATTGAAACTGTATGGTTCATAGCCGTGGAATATTTAACAATTGGCATTCGTAAGTAAATGTAACAGAAAAAATCACAGGCATGTTTCCAAATGGGTCCGGATTTGTACCCGGCCCAGGAAAAAAAGGTGCTCGTATTGCTTTAGAACCATATGGAGATTGGAAAATACAGGAAATCGGTTATGATGGTGTTGAGAAATACTTGCGGTATGTAATGAGATATTTGTTCATCCTTACTCATTACTTCACGGTTAAGACCTGAATCGTTTTCGGATCATGTTGGTAAACTAGCTTGTAAGGTAGATTGGAAACAAGTCGTTCCTTCTGCTTTGACTTATGATGATCCTAACGCTGTAGAGGATGAAGAAGACGAAGAAGTATGATATAATTCGGCTGCACAGTTTCGCAAGTTGTTTTAGGAAACTCAAGCTCTCGTTGGCTCTAAAGATCGCCTTATCCCCGAAGCAGGGCCATGGCATACTGTTGCGAAAAACTTACAGTTGAGTATGCTTTATCTTCAGACTCACATGCAATTTTAGTGAATCTTTAACACAACTCCACGTTCTCCTTGATGATCTCAAAATTATGAGTAATACAAATTATATGGCACCTTTAACAATACTTGATCCTATTCATAACGAATCTGGGGATAAATCGATGGACAACAAAGCATTGCAATGGATATGGCGTCGAAAAGTCTTTTAATGCTTAAATATGGAAGAGAATTCTCTTTCCAGGCATTGCTCGAAGCTGCTTCTGTTTTGGAAAAAGCACACGAAAGACTCTCACAGCCAACACAGACATCAAATGTTATGGATAACTTCTTTCTGTATGATATTTTCGAAGAGAAAAAAAACAAAATACTCCTTTCAGTGAGTTAAAGAAAATGCGAGAATATTGGCGTGTACGTAAAACTGGAGATCACATATACGGAGATCTGGGCTATCACATTTGTAAGATTTAGATTATTAAAATTGAGTGTACTTACCTACTTTGATGTAGAGCAACCGAGTCTTAATGCGTCTGCAAGAGAAATGAACTTTCACGTGGCCCCCACGTGAATTTGCAATTCATTCAAATAATTCTGAACTCACGTGGATTTCACGTGAAAGTTTAAAAAAATCAGCGTCTCCAATTCAACAGTTGATTAAAATGAAATATTATTCAGTTGGCCCCAAATATAACAGCAGAGAGTTGTTTGATATCACCCGTCGTTCGACTCCTATATTGTACTATGAACGAGGGCTTGCCATGTATACAGGATCCAGCCCTACGAAAGATGATGTGATCTCTTCTGTTCTTCAGGTTTGAATGCATTTGAAGCTCTGTTCAGTTCAAAGAACTGTTTAATAGGTTTCAGTCCCTCGGGATCTAACGAGAAGATCAACCTTGTCATTGTCGATTGTTCGAGGTTTTGTTTTGTTTTTTGCAGTCAAATATTTTTGCTTTTCAGACGACGCCTCTTCTCAAAATCTCTTCGCGAATCTCGATGATTCGAATTTCGAATGGATGAAAATCGAAACAAAGAAAATTGAGAATATTCACTGGAGTAATGCTTTAAAATGGGCTCAAGATACTTTAATATGTAGAGATACATTCGACACTGTAAGGGAAGTGGTTTCTATCTCAGGGAGAAACTTTTTTTTCAGTTATGTACTGAGTCAGTTCAAATGCGTGAACGTCGCTCTACTATTAGGGATGGCGTACTGCTGGTCGCCCTTCATGATGGTTATATGCTCCGAATAGAATTAAAATATTATCCTTTTGTGGTTCGGGTTCTCCAACATCCATAGTTACTATATCATATATTTAGGATGGTGAATTCGAAGCCGAAGGAGATTCTTACCTAAACCGATCTCTTAGACAAATGATTGTTGCTAAAGAATGTACTCGTTGGATTAGACCTCAGGTTGTTCGGGATGATTGTCGGATGGTCTCATTCATAGTTCTTTAGCTTTATGTTTCTCTTCCCCCGACTCAGTTACCAGAGACACTAGATGTTCGCGGACCAAGAGCTTTTACCCAAAGAGAAGTTGGATATTACCCAGTTCAATAACTCAAGTGTGTATTTCAGATTGAAGCTTGTGCTTATAAACCCGAGTTTCTTTTGGAAAAATTGATACAAGTTTCTAGTCATTACAATTTAATTAAAATCGCAATAGATACCTTAAAGGAGTTCATTCAGACTACTCCTGATCCTCAAGTAAGACTCAGAGAACTCTTCCACTTAACATGATCCTTTAGGTTCAATGGAGATTTTTACGTTGTACACCAACCCATTCCCAACTAATCGTGGTAATGTCAAATAGAAACTTTGATTACATAATGGGAAAGTATGTGTTTGTTGTTATCACTGTAATATTTGAAATCCTACAGGACTACTTATTACATGCAAATCTCTCCTGATTCTATAACGATTGTTAACAAGGAGGGCCAATCAATCCTCTGCTATCGGGACAAAACCCTCTTATTGAACACTTTGAAGTTCATGGTTTGAATTTTTAAACATTCTTCTATCATATGGTCTTTTCAGCTTTGTACATTTTCTTTGAATACAATATCCGGCTTAGCTCGGTCTTGGTGGTATCAGGTAATGGTTCTCTAAGTTTCACATCTTATTTTGGGTTGATAAGGTTCTCCATGCGAATATGAATGCTGTTGATGAGAATGGTGATCCAGCACCCTCCTTGTACATGTGTAGTTACGGCGCAGAATGGTAAAGCGAGTATTATGAGCCGAGTGAATACTTCATTTAGGCAAATTCTGATTCAATTCCCTGTTCGTGGTCAACCCGTCGTGAAAATTCGGAAATCTGTAGTGACTCCGGTAAGTAATGATAGGTGTCGACTCTTACACAAATGAAATATCAGAGTGAAAACCCCGACGATGACAAGTTCACAGTCCTGAATTACAAGCGCATTCCAGGCTCTACCCTTTGTAAGAAATTGGATAATCTTTTAGGTTTGATTCGTGAGCCTAACATTGAGCCTATTTTCTCATAAAATAAGATATTTTATGCTTCTTAATGAAATAAAATAATTATTTGCATCCGTTCTGAGTTTCTCGGCTACATAGGCCTGAGTTAGGTATCATAACTGCTTTCTCGCCATTATTAGTATCAAGATGTTCGAGCGATAGCTTGTTTTTGAAGTTCTCTGGAATATATCGAAGAAGATCTGCTATCGCATGACATCCTTGTTTACGGAAGTCCTGTTTTTGTTAAGTTTTTGAAATCCAACAAATTCGAAAATAGCTCTGGAGTTATGAAGACACTAGTCTTCTTGCTCTGTTTAATTTCTATTCACAAAGTTTGTGCAGAATGCACCTGCAATCCTGATCCTGGAAGTAATTTCTTAATTTTCCTCTTTAACTGCTTCTTTCTTCACAGAATGTTGTACTTCTGCTCCCGGTGAGCCTGAATGCTGCTCACTCCATGTGAAAGCCACTCTGGATCAAGGCGGTTTCGACAAAGTTCCTAGTCGATTGCCTTTTCGAAACGACGTCGTAGATGATCTGCCTAGTCTCAGTCTACCTCCGTAAAGAAACAGTTGATTTATAAAAGTTGTATATGTTTTTATACAAAGATCGTCATGAACTATTGACAAACTTGTTTTATCAATAATGTTTATCAGACTAAATACGTAGCTTTCGTAAACATTTATAGAAAGCTCGATCTTTGAGAGCTGAAAAAAGCTAAATGTGAGGGGTGGGCATCAAAGAGTTTACTTTCCATGACGTGGCAGGAAAGGAAGTTGTTAGCTTTTCTTTATCATTCTTACTTAACTATCTCTACAAACTTAATATATAAGAAGAGAAAAACAACTACTACCATCACCTTATAATGCATTGGTTCCTTCTCCTTCTCTCTATGTCTTGTGTTCTTGTTAACATAATAGTATTAGCCAACGATGACTTAGGACTGACTGGATCACAAGAATGGAGCATGGCATGTTTTAAAGAGTTTTCTCGAGTGAATTGAATATCCTTATAGGAAACTGAAGGCAGCGGAATGAACGCTGAAAGCATTTCAGGTGAATCTAAAAAGATATCTATCTACTCTCGAGAAGAAGAAGATACTGAAAGCTCTGGAGCATCAGATGAAACTGAAAGTTCCGGAGCATCAGATGATATTGAAGGATCTGGAGTATCAGATGAGTCAAAGGAAAGCGATCGTCACGAGGTACTTTGCTTTAAAATATAAATATAAACGACCAATTACTATACTTCAGGAAGATTTCCAACGACATCTCTTAGATGCAATGCAATCACTCTTGGATGGTTTTCAGAGAGAAGACTTTTCAGAGTTCATTGACGAAGAGTTTCTTCCAATAATTTGATTTGTTTAGTGCCTTATGTTATAAATTCGTCGTCATGAAATTGTATCTTAAGAAACTTGTGAAAAACAATTGACACTCGATAACAACATTATAGTTTAGCAAAAGATTTCGCTCCCGGGTGGGCTCGAACCACCAACCTTTCGGTTAACAGCCGAACG